AAAATGGGTTAACTTTCCACTGCTTTTCTGCCTGGAGGCGCAACCACGGAGACCAAGTGTCAGAGATAAAGAGTTGTTGGCTAGCTTAGATGGTGGCTGTAAGACGACCGAACATAACTTTCCACAGTATTCCAATGTCAATGAGAGTGTGTTCCCGGCATTTTCATTCTGGTAAGTTAAAGATGCACGGTTTTATTTTATAGCCTACTTTGTTTCTTTCCTTTAAAGTTGGGAAAATAATAAAAACGGTAGCAGGAAAAGGATCAAATACATGAGAAACCCGGAGGGTTTAGGGAGGGTTGGCAGTTAACGTTACTAACTACACCTTTGAAACACATAGCAGCTAGTTAAAAGTACATTACATGCGTGAGTGGTTGTTAGCACTAGCGGTTAGCAGTTGCTAAACTAGCAGGTTCCAGAGCCCGTCTGGTCACAGCTTACCTTCGTACGGATTACTGTGTTCCCACTGTTTGCTGGCTTTATGAACTGCATGAGACTCCAAGGACTTGTAGCTTCAGAACTGTATTGCAGTATAGGCGCTCACCCATCGGTGCTCCACTCATTGTTTGGAACTTCATATGGATCCAAATTATTAATAATGCTGAATTTGTCAACATACCGGTCCGTGGCTTCTCTATTTAATGTGTCCCATTAATTCCAGATCCTTTTCGGGATTTTAACATCTTTTTTCTCTCTACTTCTACGTCTCTTCGTTCAACAACAACGTTGTATCAGAGCTATGTTAACGTTCGCATAGCCATCAACATGGCCGCCACGTCCCACAATGCAACGCGGATCCCAAGCCCCATTCAAGGAAACCACTGTGTTAAAGAAAACAAATGTTCTGAACTTCTCTGAAATTATCTGATTCATAGCAAAGTAGAGTTCCTGACATTAGAGCAGAAAGTCAGTGAACTTTGCCAGATCAAGTCTATTAAACTCAAGTTCTGTCACATTGCATCCTCATCCCGTCAGTATACAGAAACGGAATTAAACTGACACAACTTTGTATTCACAGAACAACACATTGAATTTTGTGCAGTTTCCCTATAGGTCTGGAGCACAGTCCACAGAAAGGTTCAGTCACTGCATCCTGATCAGCTTTTAGTTATTCATAAGCGTAACTTCCAGCCCTGCTTGAATACTAAACAAACACAGACCTTCTCCAGGGACTGGAGCTGCTGTTTGTGTCTTTCATCCAGTGCTTTGCTCTGGCTGTGCAGGGCCTCCCTCTCTTCCTCCATCCTTAGCACCTTGTCCTTCAGGCGGCTTCGCTCGTTGTCCAGGTCCCTAATGGCTGCTTCCTGGGTCATCTGGGTGGCCTGAAGACTGCTTATCTGACCTGCGACCGGACACAGTCATGAGAAGAATGTTAACATTACAACATGATTATTATATGCAAATTATAAAAATGAAAACATCAGCAAATGAAACTGACTTTGCTTCTTGTAACTTCGTGTAACTACAGCCTCTTCACAGCTGCTGCTACCTCTGGTATATTTTATTTTGGTAGCTTTATTACATAAAAATTAAAATTAAATATTTAATTTCTGCACATCTGTTTAATGTTTTGTAAAGGACCATTAGCATAACAATTATGTTTTTACAATTAGTATAACATGAAAAACATGACACAGGACGCATAATGAAGCTGAAACTCAGACCTATTCAAACAATTCTCTAATGACTGAAAAATCGTTCCAAAAAGGCCAAAATAACATACATTATATGCCCACCTTAAATGGTTGACTGTGGGATCTGGACTCATCTTAACATCCCACCTTACCATACATTAAGGGACACTCCTTTTACAACTGTGGTAGGCTGACTGAATCATTTTGGAGACACTTTGAGACAGAAGGAGGAGAGACTTTTGTATATTCTAGGAGAAGTTAATTAAAAGGACAAGTAATACTCCTTAATAGAATGTCCTACAGACTGATCATAGTATTTAGGGCTGAAGAGCTGGTTATACTGGTGTTATACTGGTGTTATGCTCTTCTTAGGAGCATCATGTTTGTCTTTTTTTGCACTGGAGATAAAAAAAACAACTTTTTTTCATGCATGTTTGCAAAATTCATTATTATTATTATAAATTAATAGAATGGTTGGAAATTAATTCTGGACTCCAGTGCTTTATTATATATTGATTCCAACTTTTCTGATCCTGATTTCTCTTAGAAACAAACAGTTGGAGAAAGAATAAAGAATAAATGATTCCTAACCTTTATTTTTTGGGTCAGTTAAATGAAAATATATGAAATATCAGAGGTGTCAAGTAAGTACGAATACAAATATGAAGTACAAATACTTCGTTACTGTACTTAATT